GTAAAAAAGATAAACTCGAGGCTTTTATAGGTAAATGGATGCAACTAGAGACCATACTCATAAGTGAAATAAATTGGACCCACATGTGTAAACATCACGTTGTCTCCCTGGCGTAAGAACATAAAAGAGTAAATAAAACCCAAAATGTACAATAGATAATAAGAAAGGGAAAAAAATTTCTCAAAGGAAGGAACAACTGGGATGAGAGAAAGAAGAAAGTACTAAGGTATTTTATATATACATATATATATATATATGGTTTTTTTATGGATTGGTGGCATAACTGTGCTTCTGGTGTCTGATGATTTGTTGAGGGGAACAGTTAATGATTAAAAGTTTTTTTTTTATATTTAGACCAATTTTGCATGTTTATATCCGGTAATCTGAGCAAGTTATGTGATGACAACAATTTGCAGTAAAACAACCATTGGTGAATGTCTACAACCCTGTCTAGTGAAACTATGTATTGTCTCTAATGTTCTTTAAATTATTATTTTCTTATTCCCTTTAATGATTTGATCAATCTTCTATTCTTACATCTGGTAATCTGAGTAACTTTGTTGAAGATAACAATATGTAATATAACAACCACTGTTAATCTGTATCATTTGGTTGGAAACCCCATATCATTTTAAATGTCCTTCCTTTGTTTTGTTTGTATTTTGCTATTGTTCTTTTTTTGTACTATTTTCTTTAAAGCAACAACAACAAAAAGAATTAAGGAATCAGGTGTATCCCCTGGCATAGCTGTTTTAAAGTACAACAAGACAGAGCTGTGTCCTAACTCTGTCTCTGAAAACATCCTCCTCCTGTCGGTAAATTGGAATCAGTTTTGATAACCATGTGCCTTTTTAAGTCCTGATATGCACTGTTTTATAAGAATGACACCAGAAAGTGATAGAACCTGCTGATCTGTTAGTAGATTAAGAAGTATACATTTATCCACCTAAATTCAAATCCTCGCCTTTGGCTGATAAATATTGGACCTAATATCATTGTAAAATAATCCCTAGGTTCTTGTCCAGGTAGAGGTGGTATTTTATCCCGGTCTGTGCTCTTCTGAGATGCTACAATTTTCTTAAGATTGGTGAAAATATGGCTCTGCACCTCACCAAAAGCTGAAGTTGGAAGTATTGTGGACTTGTCTGGGGCATTCTCCATTTCACAGCTGTCTTTAATAACTTTCAGAAGTTTACCAGAGATTCTGGAGAACCTGTATAAGAGGAAGGAGCAGTTTCTTTGGGACAGTAGTTTAAGGGAGGGGATCCTCTCTGTCATGAGGCCTACTGCTCAACTGACTGGTGTGACTGCTGGGAAAGAATTGGCCCCTTGAGCCTGTTGAGAGGGAAAAGTACCAGGAACTTCTGTTCTTGGCCCTCAAAAAATGCTTCTGGATTTTACAGTTTATTTTAGGCACTCAAGAAGATATATTTTGCAAATAACTAAAATGTTGTGGTTAAAGTAAAAATCTCTCTTGACCATACCTTCCACCTCCATCTTTCCAAAGCCCAGACACATGCAGAAGAGACCACTGTTAAAAGGCTCCCAATTAATCCCCCATTTATTTTATATATGTAAATAACTAAGGATTTATATTGTTTTCTACTATTATACCATATAATTCTTCTGCATCTTTTTTTACTAGCCCATGTCTTACATTTTTATGATGTCCGTAAATATTTATCTCATGTTTTCAAATACTATCAGTAGTCCATATTATGTGTAAGTCATCATTTAGCTACCTCCCTACTAAAGATATTTTCCACCTTTATGTGACTAATCATACAATCTTAATACATAAGAGAGATAAAAGGTATACTTGATCTGCACCCTCATTAAGCTGTTTAAACAGAAAGTATAATAATGTACTATATAGTAGCTTGGCACATTATCCTTTGTACCTTGTTAAGATACTTTGTGCCTTAGTTCCTTGTCTGTGAAATGGGAATAAAAATAACACCCGTCTCATGAGGTCATGAGAAAGTTGAAATGAGTTAATGCACATGAAGCGCTCTGAGCAGTACCTGGCATGCGTGGCAAGCACTATGCTAGGGCCGTATTGTATTGGTCTCTTAGAATCGCTTTGGCTTTTGGCCCGTATTATCCATTAGCCGGACCTATTCTGCAAGCATCACAGAAGAGCAGTGTGTTTGACTTTACGGTAAGAGCCCTTTATGATAAGAGTATCATCACAGATGTTGTTTATGCCATTTCACAAAGTCTTTCTGTGGAAACAAGCAGTTTCTGTCTTGCCCAGCAGTAGTGATGCCCCTTCTTGTAGTCAGCTTGATTCTCCCATACTGATCTGTGTATCTTTTAACTGACTATGCTGTTCTTTTTTCGTTGACTGTTAGAATAGACCTAGATCTTCCATCCATGTCTAGCATGTGTTAAGGACAATGTGGCTACATTTTGTATATTAACTTATGACTCTAACTTACTTTCTTACCTTTAGCTTTTGGCCAGCTAGTACAAATGGCTGCACCTCTGGGTGATTGTATGAGTGAGTAGACCTTTTTTTTTTTTTTTTTTACAATGAAGGACTGCTTTGAATATGAGTCCTATTATCAGCGTAGCTGGTAGCTACTGTCCCTAGCAGCCACGAAAGACCCAGAGGAAAGAGAACCTGCAGGGGAACCACCTGAATGGTCCCCTAGGGGCCCTCACTGTCAGGGATGAGACTGCAGGAAGGCTTCAGAGACACAGCCACAGTGTGGAAGTTCAAAAGCCTTTAGTGTATATCGCCCTGGATGATACAGCATACCTGGAGAGCACACATGGGTCAGCGGTTTTATTGGGCCCAGCACACTGTCCAGACACGTTTTCCATGGAGAGCTTTAATTGATACATTTGAAGCAAGCATGCATTAAGTCCAGGAGAGGACGAAAAGGTAGTCGCTGTAAGTTTGCAGCAAGTAGTCTGAATGGTTCCCTGAAAGGAAGTGGTGAGAAAGGAGGGAACGCAGTCTGCTCAGCAGGAGAGATGCCTCTGAGTTATCTCTGGTCCCAGTTGGAGCCATTCGGGTCTAACATAGCATTAGAAACTGTGTCAATGGAGACAACCCTGCTTCTGATAGGAAAAGATAAACTTATATTTTAAAACAGATGCCAAAGTCCGCACTATAAAAACATACAGCAAACCACTTGAATACAGCACAGTGCGTGTGGTGGCTGGCTGGAGTCTTGTGGGATCTATCATTTGGGGTTCTCTTTTCCACTGCCCGCTGGAGAAGTGGCACTGCCAGTGCCACAAGGCTCCATGCCCATGTTGACTGTGGTCTCGTGTACAGAGTGGCACTTGGATGCCCATGTCTTTTTTATTCTTTTTGCCCGCTAAAAATTACCATTGTGAGTTCTTTAACAGAGGAGAATTTGACCTGCTGTTGAGAATTGTTTTCCTCTCTTTCCTTGCCAGGTTCTGAAAAAAAAAATGTAGGTTATGACATATCCTTGGATGCTAGTCAGACAGTGAGAGCGCCTGGTATATTAATTAATGTAACAACAATAAACTGCCATGGACAAAGAAGTCAATTGTGACTGTGAAGGCCCTTTGTCTGTGGCATGAAAAGCTTCCATAACAATGGACAAGACACCAGCTTGAGGGAGGCTGGAATAAAAAGCAGTGGTGTCTCAGGAGGCACCATGCACCATGCAGATGGTGCCTGGCACAGCCGTCCGGGGAAGGGCCCTCTGTACTCTCAACAGACAACCAGTCTTCTCTCTTTAGGGCTGGAGTGTGGAATACTAGGTTGCCATTTCTGTTGGAGGATAGGGAGGGTTTGCTACTTGTGCGCACCTGGGCCTGCACTGGGCAGGGGTTTAATAAGGCAAGGGGAATGTATCTGTTCTCATGGCAAGAGAAGCTGAAATGCAGGGAATGGAGTCCAAGACCAAGCAAGCCAACCCTGGGCCTCTGTGGCTTGCTCATTTGCACAGTAGTTTACTACTGCAGGTAGTAGACACTTGCCTCATGAATATGGGAGCCTTGGTATCCCTGGGCAAGCTCAGAAGATGAGGTTCATGGTTTCCTTATTTAGCAGTGAGATCTACTTTTCAGACCACTAACACTCTGGTTGGCAGCCTTCTGTTCAGCGTGGCGGAAGCCAGCGTTGTTCATGGGTCCAGCTTAATGGCATTAGCAGCTCCTTCCCTTCCCCCTGCCCGCTACCCTGTCAGACACGCCTTAGAAAATGACAGCTCTATCTTCATCTCAGGACATTTTATAAGATTCTGCGTGTCCTCTGCCGTTTCGCATCCTCTCCCTTTTCTTGCTTTCTGTAGTTTCTGGCTACTTTGCATTTGTTGTGTTTTTCTGTCCACTTAGTTCTTAGAGGTCCTCTGGCTGTTATTCAGATTCTCCTCTAGATGTTTCATTCTAGCTCACTCCTTTCGTAGCGCTATAGAAACACAGGCTGTCAGCCTGCCAATCATTTGTGAGAAGTGGGATCAGGGTGGGAAGGGTAGTATAAGTAGATGGAGGGCCTTGCAATTGACATCCCCCCAGCTTGTCTCCACATTACTGTGATGTTCAGGCTGGGCCTCCTTGCCACAAGTTGTGCCTTGGCTCTGGAGAACCCTGGTGTGAAAGTTAGGAGAGACCAAGATCTCAGCAGCAGGTTTTTGTGTGTAGTTGGTTGCGGAATGGCACCATTCCCTGGTCTCAAAGAGCAGACCCTTGGTGCTGTGCTTCTGATAAAGCCAGACCCAGCATGTCCAGTCAAATGAAGCACTGCTGTTCTGGAGCCCTATCAAGGCCCTCCCAACTAAGGGTGAGGTCATCAGGAGTGGTTGTGCCATCTTCCAAGGCACACCTTTCAATGGCATGTGGTCTCGTCCGTCCTCCTTGCAGTGATTTTGAAATCTGTGGTTTCCTGTTTTGATGCGTAGTTTTTGCGCATATAATCAGTGGAACTGTCTTCACAAATTGCATACTTTGTATACTTCATTTGGATGTTAATAATATTTCTTCAACATTCTAAGTGTATTCTCCTCCCTCTTTAGTCCCAGGTAAATCACCATGGTACTGCTAGTAACGAAACCTACCAGGAACGCCTGGCACGTCTAGAAGGTGATAAGGAGTCGCTCATCTTACAGGTGGGTCCTCTGGATGGGAGGCAGCTTTACCTATTTCGTCCAGCTCTGTAGCTTCCCTAAGTGAGAGGGAAACACAGAAGATTTACTTTGTTGGAATTTTTTTGACCTCAAAGTGCATGTTTTTCAAACAAGCTTTTCCTGAAACAAAGCAGAAAGTAGCTAGGAGCATAACCTAACCATGGTCTTGGCTTTGGGGAGCTGTGAACTCGTTCATTTATTGTATACTGCCTCTACTCACTGGAAACCTTATGGCTAGGTGGATAGTGGTGCTAAGAGTGAACAGCATGGGCCCTGTCCTCCAGGAGCCCCGAGTCTTGTAAGGGAGATGAGATATATCCTTGTGCCACTAATGAAACAGAGCCATTAGTGATAATGGGCCTAAGGGTGAATACTAACAGAATCAAGTCCAAAGAGTCTGAAGCTGGATCTGGACTTGGTGCCAAAGTCCCTGGAGCTGGTAACGTGGGCAAAGCCTCTGATGACTCTCTTGCTTTGACAAGAAGAACTCTGAAACCTGTCATGGAGAAAAGCAAAGAAACTTTGTCATTTCTGGAAGTCTTTGTTCTTTGGTAGGACATATAGTTAAGTTTGTTCGTTCCTCTTTGCTACTGGGGGTTGAATCCAGGGCCTTTGCACTAAGATACATCTCTAGCCACTTTTTTTTTTTTTTTTTGAGACACGGTCTTGCTAAGTCTTTTAGGTGCCCAGGCTGGGCTTGAATTTATGATCCTCCTGCCTCAGCCTCCCAGAGTGCTGATATTGTAGGCATGCACCACTTCAGCTACCAAAGTTAGGTCTTCTTATAGGAAGCTTAATGCTGAAGTAGCTCTTTACCATGTCAGTTCTGTAATGCCTAAACTTATAAGCATTTACTCAAATCTAGTATATATTAGATATTAATTGACAATTTGGAGTTTATAAAGATAAATATTCTAGTCTCCTAGAGTGTGGGCTTTAGTTGGTATCATTAGGGTTGTGAGGTAGCAGCACGGTTATTGGTTTTTCTTCTTAGCTTATTTTACTTTTTAAATTTTATCTTATAAACAAAATTGATCAATTTGAAGCTTTAGAAATTCTGGAAGACTCCTAAATAATTTAAAGGAGAAGATCAACATTTTGGTCTTTTCCTAGTGGCTTTTCCCCGGTGCCCTGCATCTATTTTAAACAGTTGAGCTCATACTGAATACAGAGTTTTGCATTCTATCTTATTTTTTTTCACTTCATTGATTCTAAAATCATAAAGTAATCGAGTACCAACAACTTACCTGTCCGACCTAGTTTTAGATGCTGCAGATAGAGCTGGGAAGAACATGGACTAAGTCCCTGTTCTTTTTTTTTTTTAATTTTACAGAGAAAAGAACACAAAGACAAAACCAAAATGACACAAAAACAGTAAAAACGATACAGAATTTCAAAACAAGATGGTAGGGGAACAGGGAAGAGGAGCAGGAGATGATGGGGGAGGTGGTAGAAGTGGGGAGGAGAGACAGTTTCAAACAGTGTTAAATATCATGGAGATAAAGCCAGATAAGGACTGGTCTGAGTCTCCCTAACAGGAGGGGCTTAGGGAAGGTGCCATGCAGATACCTTGAGAAGTGCTTTCTGGACAAAAGAGGTGGTCAGTCCAGTGTGCTGTGCAGCAGGAGCACGCTTAGTGTGTGGTAAAAACATCAAGGGACCACTGTGGCTGGAGCCTTGCTGTGAAGAGAGGGGTGGGAGCCCCCTTCAGAGAGGTAGCAGGGGCCAGATTTTACAGCACAGATGTTTTGAGGGATGTGTAATTTGAAACGCCACCCCAGTGACATGATTAATGAGAAAGTATCCAATTTGGAATTTTGAGGCAACCAATATGAAATTCAAACTTTTGAATCAGGACCTTTCATGATGGAAATAATACATTCCTATTTAGAGAGGATTACAATTTAATAAAGAAGACCTATATAATAATGTTCTCTTTCACATCCATGCTTAAAAAAAAAACTAAATTCCTGAATAATCCCTGTTGAAATAATCCTAACACAATCGGGAAGCTACTTACCAGCAAAGTCAGAAGTGGACCCTCGTAGCTTCTGTTCTGCCGGGAGGTTGCGGACTGGCTCGTAGCGGCACTTCCGCGCCCACTCCTGTTTCCTGTTCTGCAGTGGGCCGTGGAGCTGGTTAGACAGATACTTAGCAGAGTGTAGCCTCTTACTAAATTCACGTAGCTAAGCCAGACTGAATTAACTGGAACCTTTGACCCAGAATGTTTTCCTGCATCTATTTGTAGAACAGGACATATAACAAAATCTTTGTTTCCAAGATTAAAAACATTTTATATCTTCATTATAATGTAATTTATTTATGGTAGGAAATTTCACCTTTTTTTCCCTATTTCTAGCCCCTGTACCTAAAATTATGCCTAGCATATACTGGAGGCTCAAAAAATACTCATTTTTTGTTTTTCTCCTTTTTTTTTTTTTTGGTTTTGGTTTTTTTCTGGTACCGGGAACCGAACTCACGCGCTTGCCAGGCAGGCACTGTGCTGCTGAGCTAAATCCCCAGCCCCAGAACACTCATTTTTGTTGAATGAAGGTCACGCTCTAAGATCTTTATACATTTTGTCCCAATTGTCTATACTTCATTTATAATACTTAGGGCTAATTTTGAGGATCTCAAGGTCACTGCAGCCCTAAATGGCTTTAGTTCTATGTGCAGCTACGCTACGAACTATTGCTTGGGACCTTATATTACTATTCCTCAGGGTGCTGCCAGCGTGTGACCTCAAGGCACTGTACAACCATCAAGGTGTTAATCCTCACAATGGAATTAACTGTAAAACATCCTTCCCAGCCAAACTCTGGGTCTCAGGAACAGAGTTCCTTGCCTCACCCACCCTGCCCCAATCTTACTGTTTTGAAAGTGGTGTTGAAAAGGCCAGGGCTGCTGCTGATAGTGTTGAGGACTGAAAAGCAAGCAAGAAAAATACAAAAATCTCTGTTGTTGAAAGTAAGCCTTGTTAGGGTCGAGGATATATAGCGGCATAAGCGCTTGCCTGGCAAGCCTGAGGTCATGAGTTCGATTCCCGGTACCAAAAAAAATTTTTTTTTAAAATAGGCCTTGTTGACAAAAGGGATTAATTGTTGGTTTAAAATTGAAAAGTTAGTACACCATGCATCAACTGCAGGACTGTTTTAACAATTCATTCAACGTTTGGGTGCATAAAATGGAAGGCTTAAAGTAGCCATGCTCATTTAGATATACGTTGTTTTTTAAATGGAAACTTTATAATTCACAGAGTTTATTTAAACAGTCATAAATGAGCTCAATTCTTTCGTGCTCCCTCTATCATTCTATGACAGAGTGGGAAATAATTTTGAATAATCTATATATAAACAGCAATGACTAACGGAAATGTTCTCAATTTACCATCAGTGGATGTCTTTACTTTTAAGAAGCCCTCCTTTCCCTTCCTTCATCTTCCTGCTTTGCTAGCTCTTAAAAAAAAAAAAAAAGAAAAGAAAAAATATCTGGAGCAGTTTGCTAGTAGCTATTATGAAAACCTCATAGTATGTATTTGGGGCATAATTTAAATAACTTACTGTAACTGGGTTTTTATTAATTAATAATTCCAAGAAAATGTCAGAGTTCCTCGGGAAAATGACTTTTTTCAGCCATGTATGTGCAGCATGACTTCTGTGTATCTGTGACTTAGAGTCATGTTTTGGCCTGTGAAGCACAAAAACCTTCCTGGAGCCAAGTTTTGTCAGTGCTAACACATGCCCTTTATGTCCCACATTCCTTAATTGCTTCAAAACCCTCACCTGATAGGTGAGCAGTCCTCACGCTCTTATGAGAGGGGTAAGGTCATTGGTTAATTTCCATGGAGGTTTGGACTGCTCTTCCCCATGAGGTGGCAGAAGCCCTGGCAAGGCAGGTGAGATATGCCTTGAGGTTGGCTGCTTTATTAGAGGAAAAGGTGTAGGAGTCCAGCGCAGGGGCAGTGCTCAGCTGTTAGGTGCTTTTCTTTTGAGTCTGTCAAGGGCAGGAACATGACCAACATCATTCGGGCAGTGGGTGAAACTCCCTAGGAAGAAGGTAAGACTCTGCTGGAGGTGCCTTCATCTAGGCCATTTTCCACCCTCTCTACTCACCTAAAAGAACAGCTCTCCCTAGCACGTACGCTTTCGCTGCTCATCTGCTGGTGAGGGACTTTACTGCCCTGGAGCACAGACCTTGTTCCTCCATTGTTACTTTATTTCCTGCAACAGGTGAGTGTCCTCACAGACCAAGTGGAAGCCCAAGGAGAAAAGATTCGGGACCTAGAAGTGTGTCTGGAAGGGCACCAGGTGAAACTCAATGCTGCCGAAGAAATGCTCCAACAGGTAAGGGCAGGTGGTGTGGAAGGGCACGGGGCTTGAAGCAGCTCTAATGCTAACGTGCCTTTCTGAGCTCCTGCTTCCTTTCCCATGCCACCTGGAGGTGGGGTTGGCTGCTGTGCATGCAGTGTTTAGACAGCAGGTGAAACCAGCCTGAACACTGAGGGCAGGGAAGGGCTGGCCCAAGCCAAATAACCTGTTGAGCTGGTTAGACAGATTCTCAGGTTAGGTAGATTTTCAGGCGGCACTTTCTCTAGCAGGGTACACTGAGCTCTGCCGGCTGTGGCACCCTCTTATCACAAGAACCACAGTTTGACCGCTGGTGGTGTTTGGAGTTTTAAAAGTCAGTTTGTCAGCTTGTGTTCTGCCCCCTTTCCTGCTCTCACTCCCTCTCCCTCTGTGTAGTTTCATTTTGTAAAACTAACATTTTAACATAATTTAGTAGATGTCAAAATGAAAAAAAAAAAAAATAGCTGCCTTTCTAGCATTCAAATAATGTCCTCTTCTTGTTTGTTTTTGTTGTCCTTATGTGTACACATAATTTAGAAAGCTATAGTCACACAGGGGTGCAGGTGGGGCCTCAGGTTTTATATGCTCAATATTGTGTAGTCACTCTTCCCATTTTAACATTTTGCTGTGTAATCATCTTTACTATTACTTAGAGTACTTTTATGGTGTGTGAATGTATCATAATTGCCTTACCATTCTTCCTCTGAATAGTTTTACTGTGCTGTAAATACTGTAAATGAGCTTCAGTTATCACAAAGGAGGATTGAATTTTTATCACATCTTTTCAGAAGCTAATTAAATTTTTAAAATTAATCCCATTAATAGACCTTCTAGAGTTAAATTATTCTTGCATTTTCAGGTATTTTCAAAATGAAACCATGCCAAAAGTTCATATGTGTGCTTTGGAACTCCTGATGGGGCACTTGGCACATCAAAGTTGCTCGCCAGTTATTTAAAGAATAAAAGATATTCCCTTAAATGAGTAGGTTCAGTGAGATGACTGCCAGCCATCTTTCTCCCCAAAGCTCCAACGTTTTTGCGTTGTCACGATCAGCCTAAGATTCAAATGTTTCTTGACAGTTAGTAATGAACACAGGCTTTGCATCTTATCTTGGGTCTTAAGATGGGCATCTTAGTTCTAGTGTTTGTTAGTTTTGTTTGAGTACATTTGAAAAACTTTTTAAAAAGATAAGTAAATATTATATGCATATTTCTTCATAAAAAACTAATTTCAGCAGCCCAGAGGTTGTTGTTAATTTATCTTTTCATTACTGATTAACAAGTTACGCCAGTCTTGGCACCATTTGATTTTCTGTTTCGATTGTATGGCATTTGTCTTGCTCGTAATATTCCCTGAAAATTTAAGTAGCAACAGAAGCTGTTCATTTTTTTTTAATTGGAGCTTTCTTTGGAAGGAACTAGTTGGGGGCTGGTGGTCGTGGTGCAGGTCACCTTTACTAAGAAGAAAGCGTTTCCACAAAGAGTGCATACAACAACCGTCTAGATATTTTCAAGTCTACATGGGGTATGATTTTGAGGTGGAAAGGATGAAGGACAAAGGTGACGATGTGTTCTAAAAAATGTAAAATATTTACCTGAAGATTTGAACGTGGAACCTGTGAGAAAGCTGTCAGGAGGCTAATGTTTCAGGAGGGTGGTGCTCGGTGCCTGGCATGTGACAACGATGCCAGGAGGTCAGAGAATGGCGGTATTGTAATGCCTGAGTCACCTGTGCTCTTGCCCTGGCTTTTCTTCTTGACTGCTCTCCATCCCTCAATGGAGTGTTTCTACTCTAGTGTCAGAGTCTCTGGGTCAAGGATTCCAATGTAGTTGCCCAGGACCACTGTGGGGAGATTGGCTTGCCCCTGGGCATAATCCCAAGGATGGCATTTGAGACTTTTTAAATAGTCTTAAGCTCCATGATGTGTCCTGTTTATCCTAAATCTTCTTGTATGCGATGAGTAAGGTACCGGGCTTTGGTTTGCTTGTGCCAGAGAGGTGGGTGTCATGACCAAGTATATTTTGGGTTATGGTAGCTCTTTATTTGCCATTTCTAGGTTTTAAAGATCTTGCTGAATTTAAACAAGTCATTTTTGCGCTGATTGAGATTTGCTGTGTTTTCTCAGTCTTTCAGGGGTAAAATTTCTTTGTAGAGAACGACATTCTATAGTTTCTGGACAAAGTCTGAGTTCAGATCATAAACCATGTTTGAACCTCAGCTATCACCCCAGTGTGTGCTGGGCTTGGTAGTGCCAGAGCTTGAGATCCTTGAGATCTCAGATCCAAATCTCAGCTTTGATGCATATGCTGAAATCTGCTGGATGCTGTTTGTAAGCACAGTTGATTCATGCCCCATACCCCATAACACTGATGGAGTGCCACCTATATTTTAGAGTGTGTGCGTGTCCTCATAACTCTGGGTAGGCTGAGACTTGCCCAATTTGGCTAAGATATCCTGGGCTGCAGGGCTCTTCATTTCTGGTGGCAGCAACAAGAATGACTCACGGCCTAGCGGCAGAGAATGAAGGCAAACAATTGCCTCTTTCTGCCAGTCTGAGAGACCATTCCGGCCCTGTGCCAAGCCTGGTGTATTGCTCTGAACAAAACCCTTTCCTTGCCTCCAGCAGGGGCCTCTGACTGCACTTTCCCTGGGGATGTTGCTCCTGATGACCCCGTACACTCGGTGTATCTTGTCTACAGGTGGCACCTGCTACTCAACTCCAGCTGACTGTCCATGTAGCCCCAATTCTGCTAGATAGTCTTATTTTTCACGAGGAGCTAGAAGTCTATAATTAAAGATTTTAAATGTCTTTCTAATATTGGTAAATAATTTAAATTTTTAAATAATACTGTGTATCTATAGGTCAAGCCTGGCCTGTATACCTCTAGTCTACAACTTCTAGGCTGGACTCTGCCCCGCTGCGACTGCAATAGCACTAGGAGTCTTGAGAGAGCCCCACCCTGATGAGCATAGCCCAAACTCTGTGCTCTGATGGTCTCCAAATGCCCACCAAGCTATGTCTCCCCACATATGTTCTCCTGACCAAAGTCACACTCCTTGTAGGAGCCCACAGGAGGGAATTAGTCTTGGGCCAGGTATCCCTTGGCCTGGCCCAGCCCAGCCCCTGCTCGGTACTGATCTCAGCTCGGAGCTTGTTTAGTCTGCACATGATCCCATCCAGCCTCCAGAAGGAGAGGTCCCCTCTTGGGGTTAGATAGCTAAATTGGAACCAAGCAGAGTCAGCCTAGGGACAGGCATACGTTCAGCGTGTACACTGTGAACACGTCTGAGGGCAAAGCAAAATGTCTTTGTTTGCAGCCCTATATCAGGTACAGGATGGGTTGGGGGCAGCTATGAGCACCTCTCAGGATTGCCTGTGGAAGCCTCTCAGATTATGGACTCAGACACATTGAACATGACTGTATTTCCCAGGAGACCTTCCTCATTAAGAAGAGTCATTTCTCAGGAAATGTAGAAGGAAATCTTTAAGGGTACAATCTGAGTCAGTTTCTGCTGGTCCAGGATAGTCTGGGCATTGGTTCACAGTGTGGGGTTCTGCTCTCTGGTCTTTGAGCAGGTCTGTCTGTGTCCAGCTGCACACAGAGGCCATTGGAACCTGACGCCCAGAACTGCACCCCAGGAATGCAAGTGTAGGCTAATGACCTCTTCATGAGGGGTTCAAACCAAGGCAACAACAGAATCTCTGGGAAAGGTCCCTGGGTTAGTTGGTATATTAGAGGCCATGGTGGTTTTTTCAAAGGTGACCTACATGGGCTCTCTGGAGTCTACCCAGTTCCTGTAAAAATGAGGTCCTCTGCCTATGATCCCTGACCCCTCTACAGAGGATACTGATGTCAAGGGAGAAGCTGGTAATACTCAGAGGATCCGAGTTTCTGCACAGAGCTGGCAGCTACATGGAGCACTTTCCAGATACTAGCCGTTTACAGATATAGGCAGCATAAAGATCAGAAACAATGTTCAGTGTTAAACAAACGGAAGCTAGAATGAGGGAGAGGAGGATCTTTGGAGGGGAAGAAAGAGTACAAACTTCCCTTTCTTTGTGAGGACAACAGCCTGCTCTGGGAAACCCTAGACAACACAGACTGTGTTTCAGCTTCCCACCTGGTCCAGAGCTTCCAAGGTTAGGTGACTTTGGGGTTCCGGCTGCCTTTTAGGGGAAGTGTATGGAGTGACAAGTGTGGGTGGTTGGGAGTCACTGGACATGAGCTTCTGTAGATTGACTACTGGCTGTTGATCTGGGAACATCAATACACCAAATTTTCTTACTTATAGACAATGAGGATGACAACATGGACTTTATTACTCCACTTTCCTACCTGCGAGAGTTGTAAAATTATTCCAGTTGCATTTAAAACAGATTGTCCACATGGCCGTTGTAAGTCAGTACACTGATTAGGAGGTTGTGTGGCCTGAAGCAGAGGCCTAGTGCCTAGCTGATAACTTCTCAAAGGGAACATTAAACAGAACCATGGCACATGAGCCAGCAGGGACACAGATCTGCGGAGACAAGACACTGAGTCATGATGGAAAAAACAGGCGTTTCCCAAATATTCCCCAAAACGCCCTCTGGGAGATTTATGAGGCACAAATAACTAGTTTCTTCAAGCTTATTTGATGCTGAGTCTCTAGATCACAGTGAGGAGGAACCTTCCCTGTTACTGGGTCAGCGAGGTGGTTTGGTTAGTGGGACCGAGTGTGGATCTCACCCAAGTTCACTGTGACCGCCCCTTCTCTGCGCAGTTACTCAGGAACTAGGCTCCTCAGTGAGGCCCAGGCCTTTTACTTCAAAGGGCAAAGGGACATATTTTTCCTTTTATGTCTTTTCATGGGCCGTTCTTTCATTTTGGTTTCGGATTGCCAGTCTGACTGCAGTTCTCTGTCGTTGGTCGTATTCCAACACTTAAAAATGGAGGTAATCACTTCAAGATGTGGCTCTTTAAGGAAGAGACTATGTTGAAAGGCAAATTCTTTTTAT